AAAGTACAAATTCAGACCAAGATTTTGTTTCAATCAACCAATTCAGTATACCGAGTTATAGTCAGAGTATGCAACTGGTTGGTGAAACTGGGATTAAGCAAGTATAAAAAAAAAAAAATTTAAATCTGCCCCGAAAGATAAGATCAACTCAGATTAAGCAAAAACAATGTTTGTCTGGATTTTTGCTTTCTGAACTTGAACTATCCCCTTTTGGTGCTACAATGGCTTCTTCTGAAGTTTGGTCAACGTAAAAGACATGGTACGATAAAGACATTGTTTTTGCTTAATTTGAGTTTGCCTTTTTTTGCATTCCTTTTTTATAGTGATGCTTGATTAATCCCAGTGCGGTTCCCTTCTCACTTTACCCCATCTTTCTCTCCATGAGAGACACAGGCACATGCAGGTGAGAGCAAGCTTGGGGTCACAGTGAAGGATCAGCCACCTTGTGACACCCACGGAGCTGGGAGTTAAGGGCCTTGCTCAAGGTCCCATGGACATGTGACTATTCCGTCAAAGCAGGGCTTGAACCAGCAACCTTCCCCTCACAGGCATAAAGGTTTAGCCCACTTATGTATACTTCTTGTATCACAATAATTGTACAATAGTTCCACCTTTGAATTATAACCAGTGTTTGTGGGTTTAATCTAAATTGTTAGGTGAAAGACATTCCATTTGAGGTGGAGGTGGGTGAAAACAATCTTGAACTTAACCGCAACTGTAATACATTATTTGGCAAATTCAACCCTTGAGCATGGGAAGAGTCACAGTCACATCCGTGGTATGAGCTTTCCAGCTCATAGTGCTTTAGGAGCTTAAATAGTGCCTTAATAATGATGTACCTTGGCAACTTTAACGTACTATTGGTGAGAAACCTGAGCTTTAACAAACTGGTCAAGCCATATCCTACTGTCATTGAAGCTGAAATGAATGAGAGTCTTTCAATAGGTTTGTATATCAAAAGCCTCTACAGGAATTTAACTCATCAGTAGAGTTCTGAGGACAAAAAAACGCCTTGAGGGAGGAGTGTCACCTACTTCATAATTTGTTTTTGCCGAGAGTGCAGTACCTCCTGTTTGGGCTCTTCTTATATTTCTGAGCTAAGACTTACCCCGCAGCTCTGCTACTATTTATGTTATTCAGCAAAGACGATTAGAAAGATGATGTACACTGAAGCAAGGCTAATCCCACCCACGGTTAGAAACTGCAATCCACACACCTGTTTCAAGGAAACACTGGTGTAACAGCCTCTTTAAATGTGCCTGCTACCTAAAAATTATTTGATTTAGGACGTTAATGTGCGATTAGTGCTGTGAGATCGTTAGGGTGTTACTTAAGAGAGAAGCTGTGGGTGTGGTGCTGTTGAGATGTAAGGTTTTGAGTGGAATAATTCATAGAAACTGAGGGCATGGAGAGGGATACCAGAGTCCACTACAGGATACAAGTGATTCAATTTGTTGATCTGCTTCTTTTTATTATGGACGCTCTGGCAGCCAAGCTGGGTCATTATGTCCTTCAGTCAATCAAGATTTCATTTTGGAACAGTGTTCCTTCATTGAAGCTTTTTAGTTTTTGTACCCTAGAAAATATCAAGGCTTTTCTTTTTCGAGTTATGGTTTGGTGGCCACTGACCTTCTGATTTTCATTCATTCATCCTCTACACAGTTCACCACAGCAGGGGTTTTCAAACTTGGGTCTGTCATCCCCTCAGGTTTCAATGAGCTTTGTAGTTAGCCTGCTGTTAGCCTGTAAATTAATGTATTAAACATATAAAGTAAATTAACAGAACATTAACATTAAAGAGGATCCAACCTGTTTGCTGTTCTTGGTTACTAGTAGTAACTTCTATGGTCACCTTTTAGTGGTAGAGAGCAATGTCTCTGGTCTATTTCCATTTGTCAGTCTTCGGTGAAAACCCGTACCTTAAACAATGGACATGTGAACTCTCCTAGTGGTGGTATTGATTACCCCATGGTAGAAAGAGTCTTTGAAATATCATTCTGTGGGTTGTCATGACCACTGAAATAATTTGCTGATTTAGAGGTGGGTAATGAACCTTAAGTATACTTAAGTATAAGTGTGTGCTCTGAAGGACTCTGATGAACTACTATGTGTAATTAGGTTGGTCTTAATGTAATTTATAAATATGTTCACTAACTTGATGCTATTTTCCAGACTTTTACTAGTTTTGACCAAGTTCATCTATTACAAAGGGGAAAACCGCATTTTATCATGCCGTCAGCATTATTGGCTTTTTCGCACATCCCTCTGGCTGCTGCTTCTGAAAATTGTATTCACTCATATTGGGTTGGGCAGTATTAAGTTAATTGGGTATACTCCAGCATTAATAAAAAAATTGCTTTTGAAAACACTCTGGAGAGTATGACTCCATTAAAAAATAGATACTGCCCAAACTTACGTATAGCGTATTGTGATTTATGACCTGCAACATTTACAAGGCTTTATGAGACATTTACAAGGTATTCACGCCCATAATTAAATTTTACGCAAGCCTTGTGTCCGCCTACAAAGATCTCATTTTTTTTTGGTCTTAATGTCATTTCTAGGAGTAATTTTCTGCTATTTTTTTCTACAGATTTGTAAAAATTTTATCAGTTATAGCTTCCTTTAATAAATTACTGAAATGACCCCTATTTTACAAAAACCTTAAAGGTTTGACATTTTAGTAATTAGAAAGGATGCTGATGTCAGCGAATGACTCAAAGGGTCACTCATTAAGGTGGCCTGAGAATGCTTTGTTTGACCCGTTTCAGAGCACAAAGTGCATAGGGACGGTTTATGTTTAGCTTTGTTTTAATAATCAACTGTTTCTATAGGTTTACTTTATCCATTTTGATGCTTTACTCCAAACCAGATTTCACGCACCAGAAGAAAAGTAGCCTTTTCCTGGGTGAAGTGACTAACAGTTTAGTTTGTAATCTCAGACCAGTAGTTTTTTAGGTGATGATTTGGAAACTTTATGGCGAGAAAAAATATACTTATGAATTTCCTTGGATTCTGCTTTGAAAATTTAATAATCAATCAGTACATTTTAAAACATTTAGCACAGAATTTGTCAAAAAGTTAATTTTAAATATCAACCATTTGATCTAATATGAGTAAACAGTAACACTACCCAACTGAGGAGAATGACTGACTAAAACTGACTTGGTCCTCATTTGTGTAGAGTGACAATTACCGGAATAAAAATGGTGTAAGGCTTCCAAATCCTGACTGCATATGGACAAATCTCGATGTGTTTGACACATGTTCCTTTTGGCCCATGCGCCTTCAAAATGCCCTCCCCCAGTGTGTGAAGGGGGGAAGCTTTGTGTTTTGTGGGGCCCAGCTCAAACGGGAGGGTGAATGTAGCATCACTGGGAGTTTAACTCAAGTAATCCGTGTTATGCTGCTCTACTCTGTAGAGCAGATTTGTTTTTCACTGAAGTGCAGCTATATTGAATTTTTAAGCTGAAGCTTCACGGACAAATTCATAATTATACTTTTCAGTGCACTGTGCTTCTTTGCTGTAGACTTCAGGCTACCCAGCAATCCTGTACCGGATAAGAAATATTTTTTAAGAACTGATGGATGGATGGATGGATGATCTCAAATGCCTGTAACCCAACTTGTGAATTCCTCTCATTTTTGATGTTTGCAATTGATGTGTGACTTTGCGACTGCAGGTTATATCAGTCAAATGGATGATGATGGAGCTATTGACATTACACAAGCAAAGGAATTCTACCTCTTATTTATACAATTGAATTTTGTTCTTAAAATATACAATGTACTTCCCCATTGGCTTATTGCCTTTAACAAGGAAGTTGGTTGACAAAGGTTATAGTTTATATGATATCGCATTTGTTACACTTGCATAGAGGTAAGTATTAATTTGCAGTAATTTGAGTGTGGGCTGTATGGTATAAACTGAGAGGGATAATTAATGCACTAACCATTTACTGAGACTTCTAAAAGCTCGCACCTCAGTTCTCATTTGGTTATGACTTGGCATTTTTTATCTCGTGTTATTTTGCGGAGGATGTTGCTCACGGTTATGAAAGCCTTTCTTCTCCTGAGGTTTTTCAGCCAACACCCCTGAAGTGGAGTCTAGTGTGTGTTTTTTAAATTTACTGCTGTTTGTGTGCCTAAGTACCTGTTTGACTGGTAAAGGTTTTCCCTCCTTCAGCTGAGATGTTTAATAATCCAAAAGCCTCCATCCTTCAAGATTAAAATGTATGTAGAAGTTGTTGCTTTTTAATGATGCTGAACTTCAGTATTTAATTTCAGAGTTTTTGGCTAGTTATCTTGCAACTGTGTGGGCTTGTCATTAGTATTGTTAGTTTCCTCTTAAAATACAGGAAACCCCTTTATTGGTGGTTTAAGGATGACTACAGCCAACTTGTTGTATTTTTGTGGTTTACTATGGTTTGCCCTTCCTGTCTTCCATAACCATTTATCCAGTCCATGGCCCTCTTGTGAGTCTTGAGCCTGTCCCAGGAAGAATAGGACAGAAGGCAGATCATACTCCTGAAAGGGTTTCCAAAGCTGCATGGTTTATTTTGGAATGTGGGACCAAACCGAAGTACCAGGAAACCCAAAGAAACATGGTGTATCTGGGTTATGAACCATATTTCCTTGCCGTCTCTAGTCTCACCTGCTGCCGAGCGGATCCGCTTCATGCTTGGTGAGGAGGATGATGGGCCTCCACCACCTCAGCTCTTCACCGAACTTGATGAACTCCTGGCCGGGGAAGGTCAGGAGATGGAGTGGACAGAGACGGCGAGGTAGGCTTTGCCTCTGCATGTGAGGACTCAAGGTTGAAATGTTCAGATCCATATGTGACAAGTCTTAGGCAGAGTGTGGTACCAGCAATTCTGGTTCATATTTACTAAAATTAATAAACACTTGTTTGATTATGTGAAATGGAGTTTTATTAATCTTGTGGCAAGCTTTAATCAATTTAATCAATCAATTTAAGCTGCGAGTAAATGTTACGTGCAGTCAACTACTATGTTTTCTTTTTAACCATGGTTTGATGTCTGATAAACTGACTGGAATCTTGAACTTGCTTGGTATTTCATACCATATTGTACAGTGTTATTACAAGTAATTATTTAATTATTTCCTGTTTTTTTTTAGTTTTTTTTTTTAACAAACCTAGAAACCATAGAGCCTTGAAAAGTTGTTAGTATACTCCATGTTCATCTGAATGTAGCATAGCTGAATTTTGGTTGAAATGTTGGTCTTCTCTATCATATTCATTTTGTAAATCAACTACTATGAAAGGTCTATGCTCTAGGAGTCGAATCATGGAGAATTATAGAGGCTGAGTGATCTCTGTTTGGTAATATTTGTCAAGGTGCTTCAGAATCATAAGACCTGAAGAAAAATGTCATCGGTAAATTCATTGTTAGAAATCAATCTTCATATTTAATGGCATGCTAAGGTGATATTGTTCTTAGGATATAAATGGAACATTGTTGGGAACAATAGTTGGAATTTCATAAGGATGACAATGAGTGAATTTTACAATGGGGTGTACAGGTTTCTGTATACCCTCCAAAGCGACTGTGTGTGTTTTCTGTTATGCGGTGAAAATTGAACCTGAATTGCGTGACATTCCACAATTTAAAAGCCAAAAATTTGAAAACGTGAATTAAAAGTTAAATCCAAAGGGTGTTCCTCTTTCCACAGATGGATCAAGTTTGAAGAGAAGGTGGAGAAGGGAGGAGAGCGGTGGAGTAAGCCTCATGTCGCCACACTGTCCTTACACAGCCTGTTTGAGCTGAAAACCTGTATTGAGAAAGGCACCATTATGTTGGACTTGGAAGCATCCACACTTCCACAAGTTGTGGGTGAGTTGTCATTGTCATCCCTATCAGGGAGGGTTGTGGGAAAGCTGTGCCCTGATTGACATTATGAAAACTTCTGGCCATGCATAAATAGAATGTTTTGATGTTCTGAGGGATATGTATTTAAATGATTTATGCTGCATGGGTATGTATGTATGCCAGTGGATTCTTGGCTTAAAAATCCATGTCTCCTGTTCCTGATAGATTCAGTGTATGTACTTCAGAGTGTTTTTTTGTTCTTACACTGCAAATTTTGGGTCACTTAGAATATTAATTGCTTCTGAAAACAGCTAGGTTTTTGTCCATTAAAATAACATCACATTGATCAGAAATACTGGACAGACATTGTTAATGCTCCAAATGACTATCATAGCGGGAACAGCTGTTTAATGGAATATCTGCATAGGTTTACAGAAGCCCATTATCAGCAACAGTTAGTCTTGTATTCCAGTGGAATGTTGTTTGCTAATGCAAGTTTGTAAGGAAAATTGATCATTAGAAAACCCTTTTGCAATTATGTTGGCACAGATGAAAATTGTTGTGCTGATTTAAAGAAGCAGTAAAACTAGTCGAGTATCTGGAGCATCAATTCAATTTAAATTGTCTCGCTTTTAACAACAGTCATTGTCACAAAACACTTTACATACAGTATAACCAGCCCGAACCCCCACCAGCAATTGTGGGTTCGATTACAAGCTCAAAATGGTCAGAAACAAAGAACTTCTGAAACTTGTCAGTCTATTCTTATTCTGAGAAATGAAGGCTATTCCATGTGAGACATTGCCAGGAAACTGAAGATCTTGTACAATGCTGTGTGCTACTCCCTTCACAGAGCACCTCAATAGAGAGAGGTGAGGGAGGTCCAGTGCACAATTGAGCGAGAGGATAAATATATTAGGGTGTGTAGTTTGAGAATCAGATGCCTCATAAGTCGTCAACTGGTGGCTTCATTAAATAGTACCCGCAAAAGACCAATCACAATGTCAACAGTGAAGAGGCAACTCTGGGATACTTGCCTTCTAGGCAGAATTGCAAAGAAAAAGTTGCTTCTTTTTCTGGCCAATAAAGAGAAATGGGCAAAGGACACTTGATAGAGGAAGGTTGGATTAGAGGGCTTTGGATAGATGAATCTAAGTTTGAGGTGTTCGGATCATTCGGATCAGATGTTCGCTTAATTGGAGCCAATTTCGTCCTACAACGGGACAATGACCCAAACACAGCTCCAAACTATGGAAGAACTGTTTAAGGAAAAAGGAGTCAGCTGGTATTCTGTGTATAATGGAGTGGCCAGCACAGTCACCGGATCTCAACTCTATTGAGCTGTTATGGGAGCAGCTTGACTGAATGGTACCTGAGAAGTGCCCCTCAAGCCAATCCAACTTGTGGGAGATGCTTCAGGAAGCACAGGGTGAACTCTCATCAGATTACCTCAACAAACTAACATCCAGAATGCCCAAGGTCTACTACAGGGATATCAAACTCCAGTCCTGGAGGGCCGGAGCTCTGCACAGTTTTTGGTTTACCTTCATTTAACACACCTGATTCAACTCCTTGTGCTAATTACCACACAGCTCATAAGCTAAATCCATTTGTGGTGGAACAGGGAAAGAGCTAAGCTACACAGGGCTCCGGCCCCCCAGGACTGGGGTTTGACATCCCTGGTCTACAAGGATGTAATTGCTGCAAACGGAAGACTGTTTGGGGGAAAAAGCAAAGTCTGAAGAACACAATTATCTTAATTTCAAAAATGATTTTCTAACTTTATCTATGACTATTTCCTATTTATCTATATTTCCTATTCAAACTCTTTTCATGAAAACAAGGCAATTCCTAAGTGACTCAAACTTTTGAACAGTAATGTATTTAGAAGCAAAACATTAGCTTGTGATATTGGAGCCAATTATCCTCTTAAACAGTTTTAGTTGGTTTATAATAATGCTTTTGTATTTCTCCTGCAGAGATGATTACCGAAAACCAAATAGCAAGTGGTCTCTTAAAGGCCGAACTCAAGGACCAGGTGATGTACACCTTGCTGCGCAGACATCGCCACCAGACCAAGAAGTCCAACTTGCGATCCCTGGCTGACATTGGAAAGACAGTCTCCAGTGCAAGTAGACTGTTTACCAACCCGGACAATGGTAATATCAGAGCCAGTTATGTGACATTCACTCTTGTTTTTTCTCGTTTGAATATTACTTTGTTAGAGACAAAGATCAAGAATTGTACAAGACGGCTTTGTCAAGTTTATATATTAGACAGGAAGGCATGATTATCTTTTAATATTACAAAACGTAAAGGAGAATATACACTATGCATCCATTTTTAAAAAGTGCCTTTAATTTATTATTTGTATACAAGCATAGAGAGAGTAAGCATTGAATCAGCTTGAATCAGCTTGCTTTTTAAGTCAGTTTACTTGTTTTTCACCTCCCTAAATTTTATTTTCAGTAGATTTGTCTTATGATGACATGGTAGATTGAAAGATAATTCTATAGCAATGTGAAAATTATACTGTCAACTCTGGACCACTGTCTGAGGTAATATGTACACTGAAGTCCATAGGGTGCTGTGTGGCTCAGTGGTTCAGGACACTGTTCCTGTGATCGGAACATTGCTGGTTCAAATCCCAGGCTTGAGTCAAATGGGCTTTGTCGTGTAGGGCTGCAACAACTAAAGGATAACATCAGTAATAATGGTTAATAAAAATAGTTTACAATGAATTTTGTTATCGATTAGTTGTATTTCTGTAGATTGCATATAATAAAGTCACCACCAAGTAATGTTAAAATTGGTGTGTGAAGCCTAGTTCATTCTTCACTTTACTATGTGCCCTTATGATCCCAGCATGGTTCTGCGTGGACTCTTGTGTATATACTGCATTTGTCTGTGGACACAGACTGTCACAGTCGGCGCATTCGCACAGCAGTGATATTCAGATGAGCAGAGGGCAGATGTGTAATGGTTAAATGCTCATGATCAGTTTTAAAGTTGTTACTAGGTTTGGGTGATATAGTGGTAATATGGCACTTCTGAAATCTTGGCAAATTTTATAGTCAAGATTTCAAAATGCTGAAATAGTTGCTTTTCAAAATTTCATCAAGACTTTGTATATCGTGGTATTAAGGACAACTGTTAGCAAGTTAAAATCCACTGTCCCCACCATATTTTATTCCTATGCCTTTTTGTCAGTATAAATAGAGATGCTCTACCCTGTGTAAATAATTACAGCTGTAATTTTAAAATACCTAATTTTTAAATGAAGCATTTACATTTTACTTTTAAACCCTGTCTTGGTCCAACTTGATCACATGACTAATTGATTTTATGAAATATTGTTATATCAACCATATATAACAATCAAAACTTTGCGGACAGCTTACTCTACAAAAAGAGCAAGTTGAGGGAGGCGTGAAAACAATTTCCCCACGGGGATCAATAAAGTATCAATAATTATTATTATTATTATTATTATTATTATATATAGATGAGGCATGAAATAGCCTTCCCCCAGGTCCAACAGTGTGATATACAACAGCATTGATGAGAGGGAGCTTCCACAATACTTGAAGTTCAAAACACATGCCCATGCAAAAGAGGGGGGTTAGACAAATGGATTTATACACAGTGCAATGTGCATATAAACAAGTAATACAGCAGCATGACAAAGTCTAATGAATCTAGTGACTGACTAGCGATAAATAGGTAATAATTATCTATAAGATGATTGGGTATAAAGAGAGCCTCCCAGAGAGGCAGAGTCTCTGTGCAGTGAAGATGGGGAGAGGTTCAGCACTCTGTGAAAGACTGCGTAGGCTAATAGTGCAACAATTTAAGAGTAATGTTCCTCAACCTAATATTTTAAAGTATTAGGGAATTTCATCATCTACAGTACATAATATCATTAAGAGAGAAAGATTTCTCTGCATTCTCTGAGTGCAAGGGACAAGGCCGAAATCCAATATTGGATAGTCGTGAACTTTAGGTCCTCAGGCAGCACTGCATTTAAAAACAGACATGATACTAGTGGAAATCACTGTATGGGCTCAGGAACGCTTCTGAAAACCATGGCCTGTGAACAGAGTTTGTCACTGCATCTACAAATGCAGGATGACACTCCGCCCACTTCTCTGGGCCCATGGTCATTTTAAAATGGTCTGAGGCAAAATGGGAAAGTCTCCTGTGGTCTGACGAATCAATTTCAGATTCTTTTTGGAAATCATGGATGCCCTGTCCTCCGTGCTAAAGAGACGAGGGACAATCAGCGGGCAGTTAAAAAGCCAGCATCCGTGATGGTATGAGGGTGCATTAGTAAGTAAGTAAAGTAAGTAAGTAAAGTAAGTAAAATTATTTATAAAGCACATTTAAACACAGCTGGTACTGACCAAAGTGCTGTACGTCAATAAATAAAATAATTAAAATTACAAAAAAGACTAATTAAACAAATAAATGCATGTTAATATATGCTGCCGTCCTGACAGTGTCCTTTTCAGAGGAGGCCTTGTATAATTCAGCAAGACACTGCTAAACTGCAGTTGTTAAAAGTGCTGAGTGTTGTTAAAGGAAGAGGTGATGCAGCATATTTGTAAACATGCCCCTGTCCAAACTTTTCTTGAAACATGTTACTGGCCTCAAATTCAAATTGAATATATATTTGTCATAAAACAATAATATTTCAACATCTGATACTTTGTCATTGTTCTATTTTCAGTTTAAATAGAGGTTTATATAATTTGTAGATATTGCATTCTGTTTTTATTTACATTTTACTTTTTTGGAAGCGAGGTTATATTTCCAGTGTTCATTTCAGTATCTCGTCTGTAATAAAAGGTCAGACCATGTCACGCTGGAGCCCAGTCACTAGTGGCCTTGATTTACACTGGTACTGTATCATATTTGGTGGTTTTGGATGCTCCTTTATTGGCATCTCTTTTAAATCAAAATAGTTGCAGTCCTACCAAAAATATAGTAGAACTTTCACAGCGGTAATATTATAAGTATATAAGAATAATCCCAGCCATGTTATTTGTAAGTATGTGATGTAAGGTCAACAGTATAACAGGTGCCTGTAACCCCACACTGCCCTTCATAAGTGACCCCTTTTGCAACACATACATCAGTGTCTTTACGTCTGGAAGCTTTGGGGTCACTATTTTTTCCGCAGCAATAGCTATATTGGAAATTGTTTCTGCTGTTATACATTTTCCCACCTGTTTAGTTGCTTTTGGTAATGTCATATTCATCTGTTTTCACTGTCTTGCCAGCTGACCTCAGCTCGTACTATAACTGCATTCAGAATCTGAGTACCTGGAAACATTTCCTACCTATTCATAGTTCTGAAAAAGTTCAAGCCCTAATTGACATGCAGCGCTCCTACATGTTATTTTCAATTACACTACTGCTCACTTCACAAACCATTCCGTTCCCAGAGATACAATTTGAAATGTGCGCAGATTAGAATGTTAAATCCATATACTCTAGCCATGAATATAGCCCTAGTTGCTGTCATTACGTTAAAAGTCAACATAGCTACCTAAATTATAATGTTAAGCTACATTTATTTTGTGGATATCATGGACACCTACTATTATAAAAGGCCAGATGAAGATGTGTTACTACTAGCACCACCAATTAGTTGGAGGATTTATTGCTTGCCGGAGTTCAGTTTGACACTTTCCCACGCATTTGTTCAAAAGAATTTAGATTTTTTTATTTTTTTTTTTTTATAAAGGAAATCGTATACCTTTCCTTTGATAGAATGTCCCCAGTCCTTCAAGTTGGGTTTGGGTTAGACTAATATGTGCATAAACTTTGTGGAACAATACTGTTCTTCCTGACAAAGTTGACTCGCAGTCCACATGGGCAAATGCCAGTGTTGCTAGGTGGTTTCTTTTATTCTCATCAGTGATAAAATGTGACGTGATACCGCTGCTTATTGAAAGTTGCCAGTTTTATTCATTGTTTGTTGAAAAGGACATGGCTGAAGTACATAATGCCCAGGATCACCTGTAGGCACAATTTTTTTTATGTTTGTATGTGAAGCACGTCCCCCAAGACTGGACTTGATACTGCTGTCCTGTGTAATTAGGGGATACCATGTGACAATCGTCTTTCTTTCCTGAGGGATACGATAATATGCAATATGCCATATTTGGTGACCATGTATTGAAATATCACATGTTTATGATGGCAGAAAGGGATTTTATTATGGGTGACTACACTAACTTGAATAGCAATTTCCAAACTGTCGAAGCTCACCTTTTGACCATCTAAAGAAAGCTTAAAAAGTAAGAATATTCCTGTAATTCTTTATGCACCAAAAGCCATTTTAGTGTTAATTATAATGGCTCTCTCTCTCTGCTTTGTGCTAGTCTCTCTACTGTAGCATTGGTGCCTTGTCAACTTTCATTCTCTTTACTTTTTTTTTTCTGCCTTTTTTTTTTTTTTTGACCTGGTCTGCAACCTTCTCCTTCAGCTGAAGCATTTAACCCAGTTCAATACCCTGTGCCATGCCTAACATCCAGGGACACATCTGAGTCACAGGTCCACAGGAGTATGAGCATGGAACGGCTCCTTAAGTGTCCTGAAAGCAAAGCAGAGTATTTTAGCCTCCTGGCTAGAAATAGCGTCATTTTGTGGTGCTTTTGTGTAATATGCTAAACTTTAAAACAGAGGCACTGAACATGGTGAATGTGTAAACGTGGTGTATACACTGCGATACCAGTTCAGCTTCATTATCATACCTTTAATGTGAATAAAAGTGATGATACCTACATTTATTTAATGCTAGCTGAATTTCCAGACCGCACTGAGTTGTAGGAAGCAGTGGTTTAGTCCTCCCTGTTAATGTATTTTTATTATCCTTCCCCCAGTGTTCTGTTTCTTTTAAGTGGTTAAGGAAATTATGATTTTTTTTTTCTTTCAGCAATTATTCTGTAAAGATGTGCCCCTAGGCAGGTTTTACATGATACATGGTACGTGATATAGGTGTGTTCATTGTAATAAAATTGGTCATTTTATTTGGGAAAATTTTGGACACGAAAAATGTCTAGCATTTGGTCTTCATATCTAAATGTATTAATTGTTCAAAGACTAATAACAGTGAAATTGTAAGTCAGGAAATTTACGGAATTCTAGAAAACAGATAAAGGCAGAAGTAGGAATATGGTCACAGAAATATTGCTTTCCTGCGCAGTACTTTGCAGTACAGGCTTACATGGACTGTAACTATATTGAAATTTGTCCATCTGTTATCACCTTGTTGCTACTGAACGTAATTTTGTTTCCAGTCAGAATTACACTTCGGTTAAGTGATGATTAAGCTGGATGTTTATATAATGTGTTCCTTAATTAGGCATTAGCGTGGTTGGAAAAAAAAGTACAGGCTTTTTCAGACATTAAAGGAAGTGCATTGCATCATTACATATAATGTTTCAGTCCTTCATTAAAGTGTTTTCAAACTCATTAACAATTCAGTCTTGCTTAACATTGACCTGTCTCTGTAAGCAAGTATACTTATGATAAATTGAACTAGCCTCTTAAAATAAATGTAGAACATATTTACTCCAGCAAAAGAGATTTTGCTTGTGGATGCAACAGATTTTACCTGAAGTATACTTGACTGAAGTCAAATGACTACCCAGGAATAGCTCAGTCGACACAATTTGACACCTTATGATTAAGACTTTTTGGGTTGGCTGTTGGATAGTAATAATTGACAGAGTTTCTAGGTAAACATAATGAAGCATCTTGGATCACATTGCAGTTTGTTGAGGTTCTTGGATCTCTGACATGACAACGGAAAAAGAAAAGAAATTACTTTGTACAAGTGACAGTGCAGTTGTCAGCAAGACGATTAAAGCAAGCATGAACAAGGAGCAGCTTAGAATGAGATGTCGTGATATGGGAATTTTGAGGACAAGATCAGCTGTGAAGCATAGAAAAACCATTGAGACAAGAAAAATACAGGATGAAGTCTTGGACGCTGTTTATAGTAATTTTAAATTGGATTACCTTGGATTTAACCATAGTATTTGTGGTGGCCTGAGAATGACCATTCTATTCCCCACAAACTTCTGTGGCATTTACAGTGATTTTGATGATGGGGATGAATCTGAGTAATTGCAGACCATATAAACATCTTCCGTGTGTGTGTGTGTGTGTGTGTGTGTGTGTGTGTGTGTGTGTGTGTGTGTGTGTGTGTGTGTGTGTTCCAAAATAAGTACATACATACATTCACACATGCTACGTCCAAAGTATGAGGTCAGCAGAATTCCCATCGACCTACCATATGCATGTACAGCAAAGACATTTACTTAAGAAATTAATTTTTGAGAGATTATGAACCAATAAGGAGTTCACTGAATTACTCCTTATAAATACTGGCATTATATGCCATATTTCAGCTGACAGGCCTAAGAAAATTTACTGGAGGGAACTGTGAGAGGAAGGACTCAAGCATGAGCAATGTTGTCTGCAGCCAACCACAGCAGACTGGAGATTTCCGGTCAACGCATCAGTTGTATCTTAACAGGAACAGAGCTTTTGAGAGTTTATAAAGAGTGATTATAACAGTGGGAGTATGAAGCAGCTATTGATTTTTTTCTGCACACAACTCTACCCTGAATTTTTTATTGCTTATTCAGGGTTCTTATAAAGAGCTTAGTGTAATAATGGTAGGTTTCTTCTATCTCCGTTACCCTCGGAAATTGCAGACCTTTTCTGGTGAGGGGAGAAATGAGGTGTTGAAACCCATGGTGGGTGGAATTACTGTGACCTGCCAATCACTGCCAAGCTTGGAAAGTGAACTACTGGCTAGAGTTTTAATCTGGTGTTACTGGTCTTTTGAGGTTTAATGATTAATTTCACCGATCACTGTTTTATGTATAGATTTCGGTAGATATTATAGACAGGCTGAGACCAGATATCACATGACAGTGCTTGTTCCACATCCATATACCTGATATGTGGGTTTTTTCTTTGTCTTAGGTCCACATGTTCTACTTTTCCACTAATTTATAATAGTAACCAGACTCCCTTCTTTCGTGAGAAATTGCTTAATATTTGAATTGCGCTTAGGAATTTTTGATGAATCTTTTTACAGGTAGCCCAATGACTTCACATCGAAACCTGACATCCAACAGCCTGAATGACTTCTCTGACAAACCTGAAAAAGATCAGGTTAGTTACATTTTTATTCCAGTGTCCCTATACTGTTTCCTTGTAGATATCAGGGTACTGATGACTGAAGAAATAATAATATGTGCTAGAACTGATTTATTTTGTTTTTGCTAGATTTCATTCATTGTTGTACTTCCAGTATAAATATCAAAGCTGTAAATATGTATTTTATTTTATAAAGTAGTATTATTTTTAAGGACAATGTACACTCTCCTTTGTAACTGGTATTTTGGGATTATGTACGTGAGCAGGCCTTTGAAAGGAGATGAAATTGAGTGATTGGCATAAAACAAGATGAAAAACAGAAGTGTTACTTATATGAGGGGCACTCCAAGTTCTCTCGCCCACTTTACAGTGTCAGACATATGCTAGTATGTGGGAGGGTGGGGGTGAAACTGTCACTCAAGATAAAGCTCGGTACAAGTTGAACTGTTAACTTTATGACATCTGTACTGGCCGCTAGATACTTCAGTGACCGACTTACTGGAACTGTGTGGGTGTGTGTCTTACCTTGACCCTCTACGTCACAGGGTTGTTGAAAGAGAATGATACAATTCACCCTTTATCTCTTTATTCCTCAGCCAATGTACTTTAAACACTTTGCCCTCTACTCTGCTGTTTAAACTAGTAATTTAGTAATTTGTTGGGGGGGGGGGAACTTCAGCTCTTCCACAAATGAACAGCAGAACAGAATACTGATACAATTTATAAATTTATAAATTCTTTGACCATCTGTTTGTCAGGGTTGTCCAGTTCTGATTCCGGGAGGCCAATTTCACTGCTTGACACACCTACTAAACCTGATAATTAGCTGATTAAGATTTGAACAGGGAACTTTGCAAACTATGTGACATTCTGGCTCTCTGGGACCGGAAATGGGCAACATTGGTTCATGCTGAGGTGTGTTAAATCAGTAATGCATAATGTAGTGTTAATTGAATCAGAAAATTACTCTAAAGCAGTGAAATGTCTGTTTAATGTGGCTTGGAAGTAGGTCTCTGTGTTCCTTCTTTCTTATAATTACTGTGCTGACCACATTCTAGCTATAAGTTTAAACCACAAGTTCTTAGATACACTGGACCATGTATAAGTGAAGCCAAAATTAAATGTCTTGTGTAACCCATGAATCAAAACAATATTTAATAGCAGATTCACACATTGAAGACTGCAGTTTGTTTAAAAGGGTAAACATCCTTAACCACCAGCCTAAACCATGTAATCAGCTTTTTTTTCTAGCCATAATTTAACCCTCTGTCTGCTATTCTATTGAAAGGTTTACACAGTGTGAAATGTGTTATTTGACAGATATTCTTGGGAGTTTATTTGCTGGTTTTGATGGTAATTCTTTTACTACTCGACTGAAAGTTATTTGTCCCAGATGGGAAACAATCCTCCTTTATCATATAGATAATTCTGTAATTTTCTATTCTTATCTGTGTTTATCGCATGAGTGTTTTAAGTAAGTCTCTTTGGATGAAAGTGTTAAGTTTTAATTTTTAATCCTCATGATGATATGAATCATAATCCTGCGATGAATGTGCAGTCAGGTTTTTTGGATACGTTTCCTGTCGTCCCCTCATATCTTTCTTTGTCATATTAATCGGTCTCATTTGAAAGCTCACGTTTTTACTGGCTATGGGATTTCGTTAAGTTGTCAGTGGGGTTGCAAGCAGCCATCTGTTAATGGAAAGTCTATGAGGTATTAAATCCATTTAATCCCATATTTATGATACCTAAGATTGCCAAACTTATCTGAACTTTGTTTTGAGGATAAGGATGTTTGACTATAGATTTATAATATGTTACTCATATTATCCGGTGGCCAAGATGCAGGTTCACCACAATGCCTAGTATGCATGGGTACTTTATGTTTCTGTCACTTATTGTTTGTTTATTCTTTAATGTTGTTGCACTTAAAAGGTATTATTCCCTTGATCGATTTTTGGTGTTAAAAATCTCATGATGACATTTTTAGAAAAAAACGCCTTAAAATGAATACTACTGGAATTCTGTCTGCCTTTTCAGAGATTAGAAAACGGTACTGCTGACATGATTTATATGCTTGGTTGAACTTATAATCAGGGTGTTATTTTCAGTATCAGTGTTGTTTCTAGGAAACGGCTCTAATCTGTCTTGGCAGATGAATAGGTAAAAGTGTTTGGACTCAAGGTTCTGTAATAAGGTTGCCACTGGTTTTATTTTCATTTAAGGGCAAGTTTATAACTCTTGAGGGACAAAGAATAAGAACCAATAATGGGTGCTACAAACCCCTTTCTCTAAGCACCATCAGTCTTCATACACATTATGGGAACATTGATAGTGTGTTTTTCTTTCTTTCTTTCTTTCCCATTTTTTTTTTTTTTGTTCCACTAAATGGGAACTATAAATTCTTGCTTTTGACCAAGTAACTTAATGTTGTATGTCAGCTTAGATTTGTAGTTTGTAAATCTATTTGCCCTTGCTCTCTTCATCGCTTTTCTTTTGTGTCTTAAGCTGAAGAACAAATTCATGAAAAAGTTGCCTCGTGATGCAGAGGCCTCCAATGTCCTGGTGGGGGAGGTCGATTTCTTGGACAGCCCTTTTGTTGCTTTTGTTCGCCTGCAACATGCTGTTATGTTGGGAGCTCTGACTGAAGTTCCAGTACCAACGAGGTATGGCTCTCTCTCTCACACTCACACTCTCTCACACACACACACACACACACACACACACACAGACAGACTTGTACACATATCTTTGTGGGGACTCTCCATTCATTTATATGGCCAAGACCCTAATCCCAACATGATGACCTTAACCCCTACCCATCCCTAACCTTAATCATAAGTAACCAAACAAAATACTTTTGGTATTTTTATTTTTTGATTGCATTCACAGGTTTTTATGAAATTGAATTTCCCTTTGTGGGGACCGAAAAAATGGTTCACATAACATCAAAATAACAGATTTATATCACATTGTGGGGACATTTGGTCCCCAAATTGTAATGTATATCTGACAAACACACATACATGCCAAAAACCAATATTTTTTAATATGCTTCGTTTAAAATTACCAAGGATTTTTTTTTTCTGAAGGGCATAAAGCTACAATTTAGAATTTGGTGATCAGTGGTCACTGTTGACACACCACAGCACACAGTGCACAACAACGAAAAGTGTCCTCCTTCATTTAACCCATACGTGACAAATTTGTGATACATCACTTATGTTTTGTAAAATGATATGAAGGGCTCTGTGGGGGCTTCTTTTATATAGCTGATTGATATATTAAAATCTGAATCTATTCAGATTATTATACTTTTTTTCTGCACAAGTAAACTGCTTGTATTTATTAGGTTCCTCTTTATCCTGCTGGGACCCAAAGGCAAAGCCAAGTCCTACCATGAAATAGGAAGAGCGATAGCCACGCTTATGTCTGATGAAGTAAGGATCTTAGTTACTTTGTCTATGCATTTATTGTATGATACAGACTAATCTCTCTCTCTCTCTCTCTCTCTCTCTCTCTCTCTCTCTCTCTCTCTCTCTCTCTCTCTCTNTATATATATATATATATATATATATATATATATAGGTAGCCATATATAAGTAAGTAATACTTTGCATTGACTGCACCTTCATGCATTCATCAGCATGTATATCTTAACATGTCTTAAAGCAGTGCATTCATAATGCCTTCAATGACAGCTGTAATATACATTAATAACAAATATTATAATTGTATAATGTTTGTTATTAACGTATACTGCAGCTGTTAAGGTATGTAAGACGTTATGGTATACTTACATGCTGCTTATGAATGCATTATGAAGGTGCAATTAATGTAAAGCATTACCTCATTATGTACTTAAAATGTAATCTTCCAAATGTTGCATGTGTCTGTTGGGGAAGTATATTGAAATGGTAGCACAAGACATTCTGCGTAATTGGGAACTGGGGACTGAGGAATGTGGCCCTCAGGCTGTACTCAAACTACTCAACTCCACAGTCTGTATAAAGTTCAATATCAACATTTTTTTTAAATGTTCATTCATGTTTTTAAAAACGATAAAACCAGATGCACAAGCATAGCCATGACACCTCAACGTGCTAACCCGCTGAGCGTTACCTTACATAAGTACGCAGAATAATGCTGGACGACTCCACAGACTCATTTCTTTGGGGTAAATCTTACAATGCACTGCAGAGAAACAGGTATGTGTGTGTGACGTCCATTTGTGGTCACCGTTTGATAACTGGGCACTGCACACAAGGTTAAACATTTCTGCTTCCTCTTTGCTAATGAAACACACAAATCAACTGACATTGAAAGGGTAATGTTAATTTTGTTTAATTTTCATTTGAAGTGTAAGCAAAGAGCAAGTCATTTCAGTCTCATCCTCTTCAGAAGCTCAACCGGCCCCCCCCACCAGTTATCTCCTTTCCTCATGTTATACTGTTTACAAACAGTGACTCTGCAAGCGTCTCTATTTTCCTAGCTTTAGCTCGATTACGCCTGTCTCCGTGTCTTTCCACGCATTTATTTACGCCATGGAAACAGAACCACGTTATCGCTGCTGTCACTCTGAAGATTTAAACCAAACATGATCATTAATTCCCTTTTCACTAGTATAGTGTAGTATATCCAGCAGAAATGTAGCAGTAAAAAAAGCGAAGGCACATAAAACAGGATCTTCTGTTTTGTAGAAAATTTGTAGTTTCCAAGGAAAATCATAAAGACAATATTGATTGTATATTTTCATTGACAGTTACGTTTTTTCTTGTCAGCTTTTAACTAATTCTGTTTGATTGCTTTACCATAAAGCATTATGTACAGTATACGCAATGTGATGTCGTCATACGAGCTTGTTTAGTAGTACTGTCCCTACATTCGGGAAGGAGTAATTGTGCAAGTGATATGTCTGTTTAACTTGTAGCTGTTATTGTACACAGATCTTCCATGATATTGCGTACAAGGCCAAGGATAGACAAGACCTCCTGGCTGGCATTGAAGAGTTTCTGGATGAGGTCATTGTTCTGCCTCCTGGTGAATGGGACCCTGAAATCCGAATAGAGCCACCAAAGTCTCTTCCATCTTCAGACAAACGGTAGGAGGTGTTGAGGTGTTAGCTTTTCCTATCTCTAGAACAGTGTTTATTTTAGTACAAGTTATCAATAAAGGGTAGAGTATGTCTAGAGTATGTGTCATCTGCTGAGGTTTTATTTATTTAAACTTAAGTTTACCATAGGCTATGATCTTTATCTCATTACAGAACAGTTCATATACAGTTCAGATGTTATGGAAAATCTTCAGCAGTCCAGCATTTACTGCAGTATATGATATACTGTAGACCTCTTTAGATAGTCACAGTGGGAAATTTGACCTTCATCTGAAATGGAGTATTTTAGTAATAAATGTATCATCTGCTTGTATTGACTTCTTGTTTGGAAGTTTCAATGGAAAATACAAAATCCCACGTAAAGGTGTGACTTCATTCATGGCACATGATGAGGTTATTAACCTGAATTCAGGTTAATACTCCTAGTCTTGTATTTTTCTCTACTGCTTGATTTTCTGTCCTTTGGTTGGACTTAATCACTGCAAATAGCTCAGGACATTTTAGGAACTGTATGTTTGGGGTTTGTGCCATGCATTAACCACAGAACTTGAAACGTTTTAAATATTTATGCAACATTAATGGAAACTTCTGGTTTAATAAAAGAAAAACAACTGTTTGCTTCGGGTAGGAAGAACATGTACGCAGGTGGTGATAACATGCAGATGAATGGTGACACCCCCCATGAAGGGGGACATGGAGGCAGTGGGGGCCACCACGAATCTGACGAGCTTAAGTTTACAGGAAGGTAAGGTGATGATTCACATCAGCTACCATGGCACACGTAGTTATTATGTATCTAAACCAAAATGTAGGTTTAATGGACAGTTATTCTGTAAACCATTACATCCTGTAGCAAGTCCTGGAAGGTGAAATAAACCCAAACCGCTCACAAGCCATTACTGGGACTTCTGTGGCCTGTGTGCTTAGCAGCTGCAGTATTAATACAGTATTAAAACATGATGTCCCTTAAAAAGATGGGCCAGTGTGTGGCTAAGCAGGTCAGAATGCCTTAACGTGATCAGAAGGTCACCGGTTCAAATCCCATGCTCAGCATTATTACAGAGTTATTTCACCATAGGGCTCTTATCCCCTAGATGCTCCTAAATAAGTTAAACATAAAATGTCACCTGATAGTGTGTTTAGTACGTAGGTTTGTTGGAGCACTCAGCTTAAAAGTACATGTACTACATCATCAGGTTTTGTGGTGGCCTTATACTTGACATCAAGAGGAAAGTGCCCTTCTTCGCCAGTGACTTTTACGATGCGTTACACATCCAGTCTCTGTCTGCGATTCTCTTCATTTACTTGGGAACGGTGACCAATGCCATCACCTTCGGGGGACTGCTAGGGGATGCCACAGAGAACATGCAGGTGAGCTTGAACCTTGCTGCTTTGCTCAAAGATCAACCCTGAGGTTTGAGATGGTCTGATGCAAGTCAGAAGTACTTTAAGATGCAACATTTTAGCTGTTAACATGTTAGCTGTTCACACAAAAGTACAAAGACATACACAAACTCTTTATGTTTAACTGATGTTTTCAGGAATTAGTATCATTGAGTAGACCTGATCTTGTCCAGGCAGCACCAGTAGGTCAGAGTAATTAGCTTCTCATGCCAACAGACCATTGACTGTCTTATGAAATGTTTCTTGGAGCTGTGTTATGCTAAAATTTTAATATTGATATTAATGGTATGCTTTACATTACATATTATGTTTGTGATGTTTTGTTTGTCTTACCCAACGAATATATTATGTACTGATTTAGTAAGATTTTACATAACGCTAAGAAATATAGGTCTGCTTTAAAATGCAGAACTGCACAAGTATGTTTCTTTACCTCAACAGTTTCATCTCTGATTTCTTTTGTTCCACTGGCATATCTTTTAAAGGTTTTTGTGCGAGTGGCCTTGTGTGGTTTTGCATTTGACCTAATCTATTTGAATGTTTGATTTTGGCCACCTTTTGTTTGAGTGGTAAACCTTTTAGAGAAAATAATTTAGATGAAATTAGGTATAATTTCTTGGATTTCAGCGGTATTTGGGCCAACTGTTTTACGCATTGCCCCCCTCCCCCCCGTTCGGCGAGTTCTGCAGCCACCTTCATGGGGCCTTGAATTGCAGTCAAGCCTCTGACATCACTGTGCAGAATTGTGCTTCTTTGTTTGTTGCTTGGGGATGCCTTGAATTTATACCTTTGTTGTTGTGCTCTGTTCTCGTATCCAGGGAGTGCTGGAGAGCTTCCTGGGCACAGCGCTTAGTGGGGCGATGTTCTGTCTGCTGGCCGGTCAGCCCCTCACCATTCTGAGCAGCACTGGTCCTGTGCTGGTGTTTGAGAGACTCCTTTTCAATTTTAGCAAGTGAGTTTTGTCATCCTGCATTTTTGTATATGGGTAAAGAATTGTTTTTTGATTTTTTATTTTTTTTTATTTTTATTTTTTTTAAAAAGGTTCATAATTGGACTATATCCACAAATTAATCTGCTGAAGATACAACATCTCAGGAGACCAAAGTCAGCAATGAGATGATTGGGTGTATTATCTTAAAACTTTCTAGAAAGTAAATTTTGTTCTTTAACATTTTCTGTAACTTCTTGTAGTAGTAGATTTTGTAATTGCCCTTGTATTTATCTACAGCTGCTATGCAGACATGTGCTGTTTCTGGAGGGGACAGTCCCCAGGGAGCTTATCAGGTCAAAGTAAAAGGCAATTGACTGGCCAGCTTTTCAGCTTATTTCTGTTGCTGTTGGGAGGTACTGAAGTAAAAGTTCAGTATTCTTACATGCAACCCAAATCATTTTGCCTACATTTTTCAAACCTGTTCAGTATCATTCTGTCACTTTTAAAAATCCGTAAGTTTCAAGTATTTATATTAATAGATCCATAGGTGCTCATCGAGAAGCTGACTGTCCTGTGCCACACTTACACTATTCTTTTAAATGCGTGTCTGGATCGCTCAGTTTGCAGTGAGTTCGCTTTCTCATTGGATACTATGAAGGTCTAATGTTACCTCTCCTTGAACTCACTATGTTCCACTATAAATAATTAACCTTTATTTTAAATCTTGAATATAGAACGGTTGCACCATAGCTTCCAGTTTACTTACAGTGCTAATATTTACTAATGTGTGGTAAATTTCAAGTTTGTAGTCGGCTTGATTGAATGACGTTACACATTTAAATGGCTACAATGCTTCATTTTTACCTCCAGCCTTGCCACAGAATAGCATTTTTCAGTGTGATATTCACACACACATGATATTTTTTTCTCCCCGTAGGGACAACGATTTTGATTATTTAGAGTTCAGGCTATGGATCGGCCTGTGGTCGGGATTCTTCTGCTTGATTCTGGTAGCAACGGATGCCAGCTTCCTGGTGCAGTACTTCACTCGATTCACAGAAGAGGGATTTTCCTCACTCATCAGCTTCATCTTTATCTACGATGCCTTTAAGAAGATGATTAAACTGGCTGATCACAACCCCATTCACAAAGGTTTTACGATGGACTATGTGACTCAGTATGACTGCCGCTGTATACCTCCCACTCTGGGTAAGGGCCAGGTTCTGTAATTTGTATTTCTACTTCCTAGCTTTGATTGTGCTAAAACCATACCAAGAACCCCATAAATCCCAGTAGGTGATGGAGAAAACGCTCAGAAGTATCTACTCCCATCTTCTCAGACTGTCTTTAATGCCCAATACCTATTGAACAGGGTGTTTGTTTGTTTGTTTGTTTGTTTGTTTGTTTGTTTGTTTGTTTGTTTGTTTGTTTGTTTTTTCATCTGTCATCTTTGTCCAGGTTTGTCCTGCAGTGAACTTGTGCCGTATCCTTCCAATCTGCCCCTTTCTGCTACCCACAAATACAAACATTTCAATACAAATGCTGCCCGAACTTTTCAGTAACCTGGACCTGTGGGTTACTGGTACCCCTGACCCTGCTCAGCATATATATTTACTGTGCAGGTCAAGGAACAGTAGAGTATAATGTGATTCAGGGAAAATGACTTGGATCAAATGGTGCAAGATGCTGCTAACTAAAACTTTACATTTTCCGAAAAAGTCGATGGCCACAAACAAGTAGAAATCATAAAATATTGCTGCGTCTGAGTTTTAAACGATCCAGAACCTTATGGTTGGATTGCTTGCTTTCACATTTGGGCTTTTTTTAGTAATCTATCTAAATAGATATGAATCTCATTCACGTAAGATTGGTAAGTTTTCGATTCTTGAAGAAACACACGAGTTTTTCCTTTCCACAGGGAATGACTCGAGTACCTCTGAAAATGTTATGGATTATATCAACAGCACAAATCTGGTAAGTCACTCCAAATGTTGCCAGCAGTAGTCAATATTGTGGTTTTTCATACTTGGTTCCAGTAGTTATAGGTGTGCTTTATATAATGAAACTTTAAATGGAACAGTTTTTGGGAACACTTAAAGCTGTCATCTGTAATGCATTATAGATACATTCATAATGCATTATTATGGTAAGTATAAGAATTAATAAAACAACTTTTTAGTCATGAGGCATTATAAATAATTGTAATTCTTTATAAGTTCCAATGAAGCTCTCATCTGTAATGCACTATAGATACCTTCATCATGCATTATTATGCTTGGTATCAGAATTAAGGATGCTTCGTACTGCATTGTACTGACGAGTAAGCTGATTCTGATTATAAAGGTAAATGAGAGCTTCATAATGTATTCATAATGCATAATTAACATTTCTATAATGTTATGCCTTTTTATAAATGTCTATAGACATGCTTTATGGATGTATTATGTGTTCAACCTCTTTGTACATGGACAGTTAAGTCCATGGCAAGGGGAAAGGAAAACTATGTAGACTAAATACCCAAATGCCCATGGTAAAAACTGCATTTTGATAATGTCCATTAGAATTTGCCATGATGTTCACCCTGCAGTATGAGAGCAAGCTAATATGTTCCTTTGTATGCATTCATTGTTTTTTGTTACCTGTATTTATTGTCAAAGGTTGAATGTGCCCTGGCTGTGACCCCATTTGTTACAGTAAAAGAATATGCCGTTTAGAAATGTTGAAAAAAGAAAAAAGTTGTCTTTCATATGAACTGCGGTAGCATTGTACTTGGGTCTAAACACAGGCCCTTTCTCAGTTTGAATTAATCTAAATGTAATCCAGTTCTATAACAAAAATAGTTTTTCATGCACCTTCATTATTCTATTCATAAGAAATTGTGTTTCCGGGCTGTGTCTATTGTTTATGGAGGTGGTAATGGCTTGCCTTGCCTTGGCTTGACTTGCCTAAGTGGTGGAAACTAAACACCATGTTATAATTAGGATGCTGGGTCAATAATGATATTGCATTTTCTAATCGGCAGCCTTTCTTTCACAGTTATGAAAATTGGCAGGCTAACTGTCGCCACATTGAATTAGCTCAGCAGACAGACAAGGTCTGCTCAGTGAAATGAATCCTTTCTATGCAGTGGGCCAGTTAAAGTTACAGTGGCACCATCAGAATGACGTGAAAGATATCGTTACCCCAGGAGACTCTCTGTCCTTTCTTTAAACCTTTTATTATTGGGATTTGCCATTTGAAGACTGTTACCTATAGCTCGTTCATTGTATTTAATTCATTTGTACATGGTGTCTATACATATTACATAAATTTACACCAGTGTATATGCATAGGGAATGCTAAATTGCTTTATGCAGAGTGACCTAGTTCATCTTATGAAATGAATACTTGGTCTATAGCAGGACAGTACTTGGTAAGATATCATCCATGGTGCCTGCAAGAACTTCATAAGCTCATGATGTTGGAGAATGCAAAATTAAATGTCTTAATCCAAGTCTGTTGTTCCTCTGTTTTGATTGTAGTTTCTTGATAGCAGAATCTTCTGTAACTGAGTCACCCATGCCTTGATTCACGCTTTATAAAGTTTGATGTATTATTCTCACGTCAGTTGTTGGACCTTTTTTAAGACAAACTGGAATAAAAAAGTTGGTGTAGTTACTATAGTGTTAATATATGAGCATTAATTCTGGTAAAGCTTACATTACAATTTCTGCTTGAAGTGGCATTAAAAAGATCTTAAATTTTTAAAAAAGGATTTCTACAGACCCCCTGTATTCATGGCTTTATGAATCCATGCTGCAGATTCCAAATGCTACGTGGGCATCTCTGAGCAGGGATGAGTGCCTGAAGTACGGTGGCAAGCTGGCGGGTCTGGCTTGTGAGTTTGTCCCTGACATCACTCTGATGTCTTTCATCCTGTTCCTTGGCACCTACTCCTTCACTATGTGTCTGAAGAAGTTCAAGACCAGTCCGTTCTTCCCCACAACTGTAAGTCCTCATGCCAGCTCAGACCTCAATCAGTCACTTCTGTCTTACCTGGGATTCTATCTGTCTCATCTATTGCGTATGAAGCATTAAGTCAACAAAAGCCATGTCTGATGTCTTAACATTAAATTGGTTTTATTTCTCTCCTGGGTTACATCATCCAAGCTTTATTGTAATTTTACTCAGAAAATGAAATCCAGCTAGTCAATTATACAAACATCCTGGGATTTTGCGCTTATTTATAGGTTTACAAATAGATTCAATTTTTGTCAATGGTGTATTTTTTATCTTTAATTCTTCTTGTATTTTGGAACTGTTTCTGTCAGTTTACATTTCCATATTTAATTTTATGTGAAAGGGTTAAATACCGAGGGCTCAGTACTCTTAAAAAGGAAAAAAAGTTGGATGCATGGAAGAACTTTCTTAAACGCTTGCTACTTCATGAATTGTATCCATTGTTTGGGAAATCTGATCATTTCCTACAGAAACCACTGCTTCATAGCATTGATTTTCAAAGTGAATGTGTTCTGTTCTTTTTGTTTTTTACCTTTTAGGTTAGGAAACTCATCAGCGACTTTGCAACAATCTTGGCCATTTTGACTTTCTGTGGTGTAGATGCTGTGGTTGGCGTGAATACACCCAAACTGCTGGTGCCGAGTGAATTTAAGGTAACTTGTGTTACACTTGACTGCATGTGTTGCGTTCATTACACTGCAGGTATGTCTGGCTGAAAGTCACCTGTGTTTCACTGTTGACTTTAGTAATGCAGGATACAAATGTTTCCATGTACTGGTAATTTACAGTGGTCACTTAAATCTGTGGAGGTTTCACATTCCTGTTACTAATTAGACTTTGTTATTGGCATAATTCACTGAGAACGAAATAACCTGAAACTAAGGCACTAATTCTGATTCTATATAATGCTTTAATCTTAATGGGATCTTAATCTTTTCAGGAGGGGGCCTGCTTCAGAGCTGACATCAAATAACATAGTGATTAGCTGAGATTCCGGCAGGGCTGTGTGTTTTGAATACACACGTGCACATGCATATAAACACACACATATATATACATGTATGTTTGTTTTCTTAAGGGAATTGGGGTAGTAATGGTATGAATACATATTTAAATCTTTTTTCCCCTTTGGTCTTCTCGTTTCACGCTGGCCATACAAACATTGGTTCAGTGGCTTGCTGAGCTTTTTCACTTTTTATTCACCAGCCAACAAGCCCATACAGAGGTTGGTTTGTACCCCCATTTGGAGGCAACCCCTGGTGGGTGTACCTGGCGTCGGCTCTCCCTGCCCTCCTGGTCACCATCCTGATCTTCATGGACCAGCAGGTCACAGCGGTCATCGTCAACAGGAAGGAGCACAAGCTAAAGGTTGAGTATCTGGATTGTGCTTTTTGGTGTGTTAAAGTGGCTTGAGCTTTGACAGTTTTGGACAGCATCACTAGTGGCAGTATGAGTTATTGATTCAGTAGTTCATGTGCCTTTTGCAATTAATTTTGAAAGTCACTGGTCATGTGATCCTAGTAAAAAAAAAATAATATATATGTTTTTTTTCTAATAAAAAAAAAAGCAACATATAAAGTTTTACAAGTCCTTACAAAATTGTACAGATTGTTTTAATTTGTGTCTCCGTGCTCCCCAATACGTTGTGTTAATACAGAAAGGCGCTGGTTACCACCTGGATCTCTTCTGGGTGGCGATTATATTGGTGATCTGCTCCTTCATGGGCCTCCCGTGGTATGTGGCCGCCACGGTCATCTCCATCGCGCACATTGACAGCCTGAAGATGGAGACGGAGACGTCGGCACCGGGTGAGCAGCCCAAGTTCCTGGGCGTCAGGTGAGTGCCGCCCGTGCCCTTCTCACCACGGACGTGAGCTACGCCAAAGGTTCACCAGCTGTACGCACAGCCAGCAGAATGAATCTCCACTAGACAAGTTCCCTTCATAATTTGCAAGAAAAATGGATAATGTGATTGTTTCGTGTAATAATTTGGTTTAAAAGTAAAAATATGGAAGCTCTAGATTGAAATATAGAAATGTATAAACTTTAATAATCCCGCAAAGGCAGATTTCCCATTAATTTCATTTTAATTTGTATTACTTTTTAAAATATTTCACTTGAAAATACATGAATGGCATGAGTTAGATTGTGTTGATGTAATATACGGTATTCATTGTAAAACGTTGGGCAGGTTTATAAAATCTCATATGAATCTCAGATTTGCTCCCTTTCACCAGTTTGACCTTAATTATGATAATGATAATGATAATGATGCGGATGAAATAAAGCACATTGTTATAACTACATCTTGGTTTTCTAGGGAGCAAAGACTGACTGGTATCCTTGTCTTTATTCTGACTGGACTCTCTGTGCTCATGGCTCCAATACTTCAGGTACACCGCTGACTCTGCCTTTTCATATATGGTGTCCCTCCCCAGCTTAAATAAGGACAGTGGAAGGATGCACACACATATAGTTAATCATTAAAAATTTATTAGAATTCCTTATTCTTTTTTAACACTATTTAACTGTAACTGTCATCAGAATACACAAGACTAACCATGGTAACTTGCAAAAAAAGACTTGGACTCACGCTGTTAAAAATAATCATTTAAACAAACTACTCACCCACTGCTTTTGCACGTGTTATCTGACCCACCTCCTTAGAAAGCTTCTCTTTAATGAAAGGGTAGGTAAATGCTAAGCAGTGTCTCCTTGTGGTTAGTATAGGCAATAACCAAACTTCATCTAGTCAACATAGTGAATATTGTAGTACCATATCTCATTTGTAAGTCGTCTATGCGGATGGGAGTTTAGCCTGATTATCTAGCATTTTTTATGACTAGTTTGACATTATCTGGCACAGGAGTTGTATTAATAGCTTCTTTGCTTGTGCTTGTTTTAGAGAGTGTGTATGTTTGAGTGTGTATTTTAACAAAAAAATGATAATCCACCAATTTGTCATTTCTCATTTAAGATTTGTCACCAGAAAGTAATAATTCTACCAATGCAATATTTAAGGCAAAATTCTTAAGTTGTTTAATTTTTCTCTGTCCTTCAGTACATTCCCATGCCAGTACTGTACGGAATATTCCTCTACATGGGCGTGGCATCGCTCAGTGGTGTGCAGGTGAGTTTGTCACTTTTCTTTGTAGCCAAGAAGGAAGGGGTTGCAAAGTAGGATTTGAAAGTGGTCACATATTGGTTAACAGTCATAACAGGTTCACTAACATTCTGCCTCTGTCTGACTTTTGTAGTTTATGGATCGCCTCAAACTTCTGTTCATGCCTGCCAAACATCAGCCAGACTTGATCTACCTTCGACATGTACCTCTTCGCAGGATCCATCTTTTCACCTTCATCCAAGTACTCTGTTTGGCACTCCTGTGGATCCTTAAGTCTACGGTGGCTGCAATAGTCTTCCCAGTCATGGTTGGTCCAAAGCTGCGCTTTGATACCATGTTACCATGACCGTAGAATGACTGATGCTGATGTGCATCTAGTGACGTTGAGCATCTCTTTTTGTGATGAGTAGACATCGTCTGTTGAGTAATGGCTTGAGCGTTCCTTTGCAGATCCTGGCACTGGTCGCAGTGAGGAAGGCCATGGACTACATCTTCTCTCAGCATGACCTCAGCTACTTGGATGATGTCATTCCTGAAAAAGACAAGAAAAAGAAGGAAGATGAGAAAAAGAAGAAGAAAGATAGTATAGACAGTGATGCTGATGATGTAAGTATGGTATTGCATGATTAGTATAAAATATGGTTTTATGTTGTAAATCCTAATATGAATAAGTCAGTTTCTTTTTCCTTGTGCATAGGAATCAGCTTTTTGAACCTGATGTCCTTTTTTTGTAGAATCCAGAAGTGATTCAGGGCTTTTTAAATGTGCATTATATTCTATAAGCTGTTGATATAGACTTCAGCCACCTCTTAACCCTTTTTCACTCCTCCTTCACAGTCTGACTTCCCTTATCGGGAGACGCTGCCGGGCATTAAAATATCCATGGATATCCTGGAGCAGGAGCCCTTTTTGAGCGACAAACGTCCCGTCAGTAAGTAGAGCCATTCAGTAACCGTCTGAAATTATGGAACAGGAGCTCATTCTGAACTGGTGCTCTTCGAAACTGACAGAGCTCCTTAATTTGCCAATAACTTTCCTGACCGTTGCTTTCATAGTCACACACAACTTGAATCCAAATTGCACAAGAAGCATTAGTTTAACCGTGTGAAGTAGATATTGACCTCTTTCTGCCAGTGGAAATTTATGAGTTGTTATATGACATCTTATTGAACATGTATCTCCAAAAATGGTAAACACAGGGTTTAGGAGGGTGAGTGTGAACATGGATCCTTGCTTGTGGTAATCAGAAGTGGTATGCATGTCCTTCCATAGGAGAAAAGTCCTCCACTTACCTTGACCCACACTCCGCATGCTGAGTGGCTGAACTATATCCGGGCCAGTTTGGTGGTGAGGTAAGCTTACAGCTCGCTTTCTTAAACTGATTCCCAATGTATTATTTAAATAGTTTGGTTAATGGATTTTTCTAAGCCTAATAATGAGCAACCAAAAGACAAATTATTATTTTTTTAAATAGAGCCCCTCCTGTAGTGCATCGAGTAATGATTTGCTCACACAGCTTTCTGTCTTAACATCATTATGGATTGATATGCGTTATACACATATTGGCCTCTGATATACAAGTGAAATCTACTTGAAATGCAATGTTGCTTTCAAACCAAAAATGATAATCCACCGATTTATTTGCCATTTCTCATTTAAGATTTGTCACCAGAAAGTAATAATTCTACCAATGCAATATTTAAGGCAAAATTCTTCAGTTGTTTAATATTTTAACCACCTGGAATGTCTTTCCAAGTCTGCTAGTGTTAGCTTTCATGTTATCATGTAACCTGTAAGTTAGTTAGTGCGGTTTATTGACCAACTTAATGAACCATGTAAGCGTGAATCAGGTGATCTTTAATGTTCTTGGTTTTATGTTTTCGTTGCATGTTTAAAGGTCACTACATCATCATTAGTCTGGAGCAAAGTGTTACAAACCTAAATGGTCCAGTAATGGGATTTTAATGTAACAATTCCCTTTTTTTGACGCGGGATGGTGAGGGAGTCAGAAATTATTCCTAACATTTTAAGATTGTTAAAGAACTGTGTCATGACAGAGATGCTTGTGGTAGTTTACCTACCACTTTTTCACCTAAGCCAACATGCTTTGCATCTTGAATGTATTAAATTCAACCGAACTTTACAATTGATATGGACTGTTAGTTGACATTTATTTACACAATTTTTTGCCTGCAAAATGCTGAACGAATTAGATTTTCTCTTAAGATTGGTAAAGCAGCAGGTTTCAGTGTCATTTATGTGAATGTGACTTGGGATAAATGAGTACTATGTCCTTTTTTTTTGGTCTTTAGGGGGGGAAAACGGTGCCTCAGAGGAGAACCTTGAAGACTAAGGCAAGGGGTCCTTTTTGGAGAACCATGCCCAAGGTCTTTCGAGCTAATTTTGCGAATTCCTTTTAATGACACATTTCCATAGTGGGAAAAAAAGAAAATAAATTCCTTAATTAGGGTGAGAGTTGAGGAAGGGTTGTTTAAAAAAAATGTTTGGTCAAACTTGAAGGATCCTTTCTGCTCCTCTTTTCCTTGAAAAGAATGAATGTATCGTCAACTAAACGAAAACATTCAGATATGCCTGGTTTTTATTTAACAGCAGATGCCATAGTTGACGTACAAAGAAACCTTTTAAATGTGAAAAAAAAAAACTGTTTGTCCCCTCTGCCGAACATTTCGAAAACTGCCGTTCAGTACACATATCATCCTTTACTATGCAAAACCTCCCTGTGTCTTCTGATGAACATATTAAAACAATAGAATTATGGGATATCCTTTTTTGTGGGCCTTATCTGAACTTCTTAATTTTCTGAAAGAACTAATCAACTTTTCCAGTAGTAGGAGAAAATATTTTTATAGTTCTACCTCTGTTTGTCATTTTGTTTTGATTTGTAATGACTACATCATATGATTTTAATATTTCAGACCTTCACCTTCTGTGATGTCCTATGACTTTGTACGAATCTAAAAATTGCTATGGAGATGCACATAAGTAACAGAGAATGTGATAATGTTAAATGTGTTCACACAAGATTATGATTTTACAGTTTGTGTAGGTACGTTAAGTTTTAAAATGGTGATTAAGTTAATATAATGTAATTTTAAATGGACTGGCATGATCTGTATACTTTTGTTTCTCATGAATTTATCACTGTATTCTGGATTAATAACACCAGCAGTTATACAACTGTTATTTATGCCCCAAACTGTCTTTAACTCGCTGAAAGAATGAATGCTTGGTCTATACCCAGAAATACAATGGTCTGTATGTGTTTGGTATGTTTAACAAAAAACAATATTAATATATTAACACATTATTATAAAATGTCTTATTCTAAAAGGTTGGTGTTTTCCAAACCCAGAAATACAATGGTCTGTATATGTTTGGTATCTCTGTAACAAAAAAATAATATAATACATTATTATAAAATGTCGCATTCTGAAAGGTTTTAGAACAAAGGATAGCATGTTATGCAGAATATTTTCTTTAAAAATCTAATGGACGCATTATACTGTAGATATCACAGGCAAGAGTTTACTTGATGTACCATTTTGGTAAGAGTTTTAATTTTGATTAATAATTCCAAGGATTTATTAAGTCTTCCACTACTGAATTTGTTCATCTCTGAACAAAATCAATCGTTTGTTTGTCTTAATATACAATGCTTGAGTTATGGGGTTTCTTGTTTTTGATCATGTTTTGTTTTTATTTTTTATTTTTCCAAACCAATGTAGGTTTTCACCAGTATGCACACTATATTAGAAAAGTAAATGCAATAATGGTTAAAGACCTTATGCCATTTAAGTCATTTGTTGCTGTTTTGAATAAAAGATTAAAGTGATTTTTTAAAAAAATTTATATAATATGAATAGAATTTGTATTTTTAAGAAAATGTATATTAAATAAACTCGTAAAGCTTCTCTTTATTTGTGTCATTCTCTGAAGATGGATTTATTCTAGTTCACAGCTCCATAAAAAGAAATGGAATGTAATTGCTGTAAAACTATTAACATCCGCTTGCAACCATTTATCAATTTTCCACAACTGCTTTTACTCTTAAGCTCCTTATTCCTTGGATCCTTTCTGGATGGGCCTATGGGAAGCCATGGGAAGCTTGCACATACTACTGGTGGTTCAGCTCCAGCAGAACGCTGTGTCTTTGTGTGGGAGATTCTGCGCGCACAAACACAGGGAGAACATGCTCCACACACACAGAGAAGGGTCAGATCCAAGCCCACAGCCCCTAGAGGTGTGCCAAGGGCCCTGCTGAGCTCCATGCCACTTGAGTGTAAAATTACTCTTAAGAAATTAAATATCATTAACCTCCCGTGTCACTTCTTCATTGATCTTGAGAAAGTCCCATGTTACTAGTTGTTTATGGAGGGGGGGGGGTTCTTTTTTTGTTCCATTGCCATATGTGAGAGCACAGCTGATGCCTAATATATAACCCAGTGAGCTCCCACATGGGGAGTGTCTTTTCATGGCATTGCTCAGCTGCTTGCCAAGATATTCTAGTTATTACATTAAATACTTTTTTTGTATTTGCTGGCTTTAAGCTTTAAATATGATGATTTGACGTTTTGGTAATTTTATCGCTGGTTAACACGATGCTTCTCTGTCCATTGTTTTTCATTGCACACTAAATAAATCTTAGCAATGAGCTAAACTATGACCTGACTCTCTCCCAAGGGTTCTCTCACATATCAAAACGCCTTCAGTCAGTGCAAAGATTATTGTTGAACAGAGTGAACTCTTTTATGGCATACAGTAGTTTATCTGTACAAGGCCATGTTGTTAGAGAAGATATATTCCAATCCTTTGTATTACTAAGGTCAAATACTTATTTAATGCTAAACAACCTTCACAAATTACAATTTATTTTTGTTTCATACCTTTTAAAAACAATACACTGTAATTGACATTTCCAAAAGTGCACAAATCAAATCATGTGCAACATGAGCAGAACTACAATTTTGTTTACATGTTCCATTTTGTTATCCCAACTGAAATGGCTATAGTTTAGACATGGATGCATCATATATATGATATACATATATTGCACTGGGAAATTCAACTTTGGAAAAGTACCAGTATTCCAAAAGCATTTCACAGAGTATTACCAGAATGTCTTGAGGGTGCTAATCTCCATGAGTCATGAACATATGTTATATGGTACGGGTACTGTAAAGATGTCTGGCTGTTACATTGCAGCAAATTATGCATCTATGGAAAATTTGATTTCTGGTCATAAGAAGTTCAGTTGTATCACAAGATTTTAGAGGTGACCCACCCATTAATCGCTTCAGATTATACTGTCACCTCCAGGCAAAGACAATTAATTGGCAAAAATTAGGCCCGACTTTGATCTTGCAGTTTTCCCACAGCGTTTTCCATAACATCTCTGATTAATGGTTACAGGTGCTCTGTGTGAGAGCCCTGAGATAATTGTCCCAAGGTCGCTGGAGTGTAAAGACTAGCCTTTTACCTATCATTGCTACAACCTGATTCTTATAAACCAGATTTAGATTGATTTTAAATTACATTTGTCATTTAAAAATCCAACATTGTTATAATATAGAAGTTCTGTGTGTGTCAAGGATATCAGCCTAACTATCCAACTAACTATCAACTTATCTATATCTGCCTACCAAGTCAACTATCTAATAAACTATTACTGCAACAAGCCATATTGTTTTAAAGCTCTTATTGGAGAAAATTCAATAAATGCCAATGATGAGAGAGTTGTTCCATTAGTCCTTTGTGAGTCAGTCAAGGCCTTTTTCGAGGCTGAGGCAGTTACTGATTTGGAAAACCCCAGATATCTCGACAATGTTTTACTCAGTTTATGCACATTGTTCCCGGGTAAAAAAAAAGAAAAAGTTTGCATATAGTCCAGGCACATACTGTACTTCTTTTTGAAAACATATTAATGAAATTTATAACTGCATCCTCATAAACAGTTAGTTTTTTTCCCCACATTTGCATTATTATGCATATTTGCAATGAACTCGAGGTTTGATGAACATTCATTAGGTATTTTTTAGCTGCATGGAATCTGATGCCATCTAGTGGTGAAGTCTTGCAGCATAGGTAGGTTTTTCTGGACAACGTCAGAGTAATAAAGCTATTGATGTAAGTTAAAAAACGTAGAAGACAAAATAAGAGAAACTAAAGCAGCAGGAACATCTTCCCAACATGAAATTTAATACAATTTAAAAATTACATAAGAAGATAAGAAATTTACAAACGAGAGCAGGCCATTCAGCTCATCAAGCTCGGTAGGGGTGAACTCAACTAATAGCTCAGAGTTGTTATAATCTTATCTAACTCTGATTTAAAGGAACCCAGGGTTTTAGCTTGCACTAAACCAACAGGAAGACTATTCCATACCCTAACTACACGCTGTATAAAGAAGTCCTTTCTCAAATCCATCTTAAAGTGTTCCCCCGCTAATTTCCACCTATGGCCATGAATTTCTACATTTGAACTAATATTGAAGTAACTATTTGGTCGAACAGCATCCACATCTGTTAGAATCTTATATACCTGGATCATGTCCCCCCTTAGTCTCCTTTGCTCGAGGCTGAACAAATTCAGCTCAGCTAACCTCTCCTGATAAGACATTCCTCTAAGACCAGGAATCATTCTTGTAGCCCTATGTTTAAGCCTTTCCAAGACAGCAATTTCCTTTTTAAGGTATGGTGACCAAACCTGCACACAATATTCAAGGTGGGGTCTTACCAAGGAATTGTATAATCTTAGCATCACCTCCCTTGATTTAAACTCCACACACCTAGAGATGTAACCCAACATCCTACTGGCCTTTTTTATTGCTTCCCCACACTGGTGAGAGTGGGACATGGAAGCATCAACATGCACACTGAGGTCTTTCTCATAATCAGCTTCCTTTATTTCAGTGGAACCCACAAAATATCTGTACTTTATATTTCTGCTCCCTGCATGGATTACCTTACATTTATCTATGTTAAATTTCATCTGCCATGTATCAGCCCAGTCACTAATTAAATCAAGATCCCATTGTAGCCTCTGTGCTGCTAGATCAGTATCTGCTACACCACCCACCTTGGTGTCATCTGCAAATTTAACCAGTTTACTGTATGTATTGGTGTCAATATCATTAATGTAAATTAAGAACAATAGTGGTCCTAAAATTGAACCCTGTAGTACCCCACTATGAATGCAGGCCCACTGTGACATTGTGCTTCTAATAACTACCCACTGCTTCCTGTCTTGACCAGTTTTTGATCCAAGCTACTACAGTTCCTAAAATCCCTGCAGCTTTGAGCTTAAGCAGGAGCCATTTGTGGGGGACAACATCAAAGGCCTTCTGGAAATCTAAGTAGATCACATTGTAGGCCTTTTTGCGATCAACTTCTCTTGTAGCTTCCTCAAAGAACTCAAGTAGATTAGTTAAACAGGATCTACCTCTCCTGCATCCATGTTGGCTATCCCTCAGAATGTTATTTGAATCCAGGTAATTTACCACTTTCACTTGGATTATAGCTTCCATTACTTTTCCAGTTATGCAAGTTAAACAGATTGGCCTTTAGTTTGCTGGATTACTTCTCAAGTTGTCACTGTGAAAATGTTTATTGCTGGGTTTTGTAATGCTATAATTACAGCTTAAGGGTTACTGGGAGTGGATAGTCCATAACGTTCACACACAGTCACACTTCAAGGATATTTTTGAGAAACCACTTCAACTAAATTCAGAAGACAAGTGATTCAAATCAAGGTAGAATACATAAACAAAAATATTAACCAACGTTTAAATAGTAAATATACATAGCAGTATCAAAGAATAAGTGGCTTGAACATCACTATCGTGTAAATGGAGCTCCATTGTAACATCACAGTCAATATTGTGATAAGCATCTGTCCTGTATTTTGTTATCTAGATATAATATCTGTACTAAGATTACCTGAAGAAAGTATAGCTGCAGTCCCACAAAGCATTGCAAAGACACATTGGAAATTATGTGACAGTTACTCCTTTTGGGCACCAGGTGGGAGTATATGCATGTTTTCACGTAATAATGAAGTTACATGATAACTACCAACACAATTCACGATGGATTATTGAAGAAAGTTCTTTAACTGCTGACCATCAACATTGTGAATAGCTAAATAACCAGGGATGGGAGCAAGTCATGCCTTGGCGAGTCCAAGTCAAGTCTAGATTCAAGACATTGCAGCCCGAGTCAAGTCTAGAGTCAAGACATTGCAGTCTGAGTTAAGTCTCAGGTCATTTGCCCTCAAGTCCAAGTCTTTCCATCATTTTTGCTGTCAAATCACAAATCATCAAATTTGTGACTTGAGTCCCAATCAAGTTGTGAGTCATTTAACTTGAGTCCCTACCATGTCAGTTTTTCTGACTTTATTAAAATTTCCTGCAGCAAAAACCCGTAGGATATGTTCTTCATAGGCAGAGATAGGTTGAAAAGAGTGTCCACGTATGGTTCTCCTAACACAGTTTTTATGTCCATGTATTTGCAGAGAGTGATGCATCTCTCTAACAATCTATCTCAGGAAACTTGGCATTCAGCCAACTGAAAATGCAGACAGTAGAGAATTAATATACTGAAATTATCAAATAAATATTATGGTATCCAGAGGGGAACTATAACCTGAAGTCTTCTCGAGTCATAGGGTCAAAGTCTGGTCCAAATCTCAAGTTTTTGCATCAAATCCAAGTCAAGTCCATGTCTTTCAGTTTTACTGAGTCGAGTTACAAGTCCTCAAATATGTGACTTGAGTCCGAGTCAAGTCACAAGTCAGTGACTTGAGTTCCCATCTCTGTTAATAACCACACAAATAATAATATCGTGTGGCTTTTCTTTGGGTACTCCACTCTACTCCATCCTAAATTTCCCATTTCAATATTTCATATAAAGACTGACCAG